TGGCTTGCAGTTGCTGTCTGAGTGAAGCCTTAGAGCCTTAGAGCCTTAGAGCCTCACAAGGTCCCAAGGTGCCATGACTTTGAAAGTCCCAGGCGCAACGTGTTCCCATACCATGCCACCCCGCCATGCATGCACACCACTCATCTGGTAGAAAGTCTGGAGGGGACACTTGCAAGGTGGTGCTGTTGCGGTCAAGGTCGTAACAACCTGACTCGACGTGACATCACTAACGACGCGAAAAGATGTCAGTGAAAACTTGCTGGATTGACCCCAAGGCTATTGCATGCTATTGCAAATTCTTGGCATCAGCTCAGGGAAGAACGGTGGTGATGGAATTGTCTGAGTCCGAAGTTACACATGTTACACGACCCAGCCATGGGATATCTAGAACACAGAATCTCTTCCAAGAAGAGTGCCCTTGAAACATCTTGAAATGTCTCATTCGCCATTCGCCGCAAGTAGCACTGACAATAATTAAAAAACATTTTTTCAACGCAGGCTGTCACGACTCCAATGACATCCATCATGATCTCCAGGATCATTCTCCAATTGCCATCCCTGATGGAATGCTCCGCATTGCTCATGATGCTCATGTGACTCCCGTGCAACTTTTATTTTTATTTTACCACGGAACTGTAGCCCCTTTCGGGGCGCGAGTAGATCCTCTGGGAGGTGTTGCGCATGACGTTCTCCTGCAACAAGATCTGCGCCTCGCGGTTGGTCTGGTCATGCAGCTGGGTGCCTCGGAGGTCCACGAAGACACCGTGCTTCAGGGCTTTACCTGGGCTTGGCCACCAAAGAATACAAAGGATATCAAAGGATGATAGGGATCTTGACTGATCTTGACTGATCTTGACTGATCCTGATTGATCCTGACTGATCTTGAAGACTGATCTTGACTGATCATGGAGACTTTGAAGGTTGGTGGTGTTTTGTTGCGAAGTTTAATTGATTTTGTTGGAAGTTTTTGGAATGCCACTCTGAATCAGCTTGGTTGGTTTTTGATTGTTTTGTATGGGTAGGGATGCAAAAGCGACTCGCTCTGGACATACCTAAAACATCCTAAAACTGTCGGCCCATTTCTGTTTGATGAATTCCGCAAAGAAAACACAGTTCATGCCACGCCTTTATGAAGTTGTTACCTCAAGATCTGTGCATTGTTTCCCTATTTTTTCCTCCAAAATGCCAAATGCAATGCTTCACTTCAGCTACTTGCCACTGAGGTTCTTAACGCGTCCTTTGCAAGACGCAATGGCTGCTGGTTCCCCGCCAGTACCAGGGTCTGGCTAGCACCAGGCACTGCAGCAATGTAGCTGAGGTTGTTGCCTGCCAGCTGGGGGATGCTGGGGGTACCCTCAAGTCATCCATTGACAAATATATGGGGGATTCATGGGTTTTCCACGAAACCATCCATAAATTTCGGGGTTGGGCACCTCCATTTATTTGGAAACCGACAGCTATATAAGTTCAACTAAGGTTCAATTCCAATGCAACAAAACGTATGAACTTTGAATGTCCCTGTAAGAATCTATAAGACCAATCATCCGCGAACACTTGTTTCCTGCCTGAGAGGTCGATGAATTCCAGAGAACTGGCCAAGCTGCTTCGCTGTGCCAAAAAGATTCCCGTTTCCACAATGGTAGGTGGCATGGGATCCAGATTCGGCAGCTCACCCGTCAAGCCGCTCTTCACCGCTTTGATCGTTCCCACGTGCTCACAGGCGCCAAGTGGCAAAAGCAAATCCTGCAAATGGCAGTTCAAGCGGCAACCAGAGACCTGCCAGGGAAGCCACAGGTATGACCCAAGGGCCTCAAATGCAAACTGTTACACGTAGATGGATACACATATGACATCAATATAGACTCTCAAAGTCAAAATGACTATATAATCTATATAAACACAAACATTTCATAGTGTTTCAGCCTTTACCTTTCTGTTCTCTTACTGTATGTGTTCTTGAATTTTCAGATCAAAACTCAGGACCTCGAGGGTTGTGAGGGCTGGCAACAAGGCAAGGTTAGGATTCTTCAGCTGCTGAAGGTTCATGAGATTGATGAGGTCATCACCATTGGGAACAAATTGAACGCGACTACCCTGGGCTTCGCTGGGGTGATCAGGTTGCGGCAATGGCAATCCCATCAATGGATATCAATGGGGCATTGAAGATCATTATATAAAGAAAGGTCAGACAAACTGGTGATAAGGGGTAACTTTCTTGATAGTCATTTCAAAGTCATTTCTTTTCCCAATTTCACCTTCAGTTTCTGAATTCACACGGCCTGTGTATGCCTGTGTGACGTTTGAGGCGCGGGCCGACAGTTTCAAGATCCGCAAGTGTCGACAACAGCCACGCCAGCGTTTGGTGAGTCGTCCCGTGACCAAGGTGTCCGAGAGGTCCACCACTTGAGCTTGGCTCCAACTCACGATGCCTTCGATGCTTCCAGTGACCTTGGTGCCTCGGCAGGAAAAAAACGACTCACCCTGCGGCATCCTGTGGTGCCAATTCAAATCTGAAAGGATGACTTCTCAAGTTGGCAACTTGAACCCCAACCAACTGTATAGATCTGATCTGATCTGAGCAGTGCCAATGAGATCAATGAGATTCAATGTGTATATAATCATAAAATATCATAAAATAATTGAGGATCAGCTGATCAGCCCTGCATTTGCCACCCCAACTTGCCCAGCCATGCCATGCCTCCAAGATAGAGCTCCTTCAAGTGCCAGGCATTTTGGAAGACCCAAATGTTTCCCACCACCTGTGTGAAGGATAGGTCCAGCACTGAGAAGCCATTTTGTTCTGATGTCGCCAGCACGCCAACGTCCCCAAACCTCAGAAATTCACAAAGAATCTCCAATCCAATCCTGACCTTCCCAATTCTTGTTTAAGTTTAAGTGGCACCTTTGCAAAGTGCTCGTTTCCCATGGCCTTTTCACAGAATACTTTCAACACTGGTTGATCATGCCTCCATTCCATGTGCGTCCCTGTCCATCATTAAATGGCTCACTCGGGAAGGGCTCAAGATGCAGACTATTGATAACACACACACACATATATATATATACAAAAAATATTCATTACTTTCTTCGAGTGATCCCCGCCATTCTATCTGACATATATTCTGACATTTTATCTGGCAATCTTTCTGGCATTCTATCTGCCATATATTCTCATATCCGATCTGGCATTTTTTCTGGCATGTGTTCGGGTCCGTGCATCCCCAGACTCAGCTAAAGCTCACCATAAGCTTCTGGAGCGAGATTGCTCGACTTGAGTTGGCACTTGCTCTGCGATCCGGGTTTGTTGGTGTCCACAGTGGCGAGGAGCTAGCAGAAGGAGGACGCGAGGAGTGAAGGAAGGATGGAGGGAGGGAAGTGAGTCGCACCTTTGTTATGTAAAAATGGTGGGGAATCAACATATCAAACCATACAGCCATGTTCACATTTTCCTTGTGAGCATCATCAGCGATTGTTTACAATCACACTTCGATGAGAATCAAATGGTGTCAACAAAAAAACGTGAAAAGCGCGTCAAAAAAAGGTGATTTTTGCGTGAAAGGAAAGCATGAAAACCGTGATTATCGTGATGTCAGGGTCACTTGGAATGCGTGAAAATTGCCAAGATTTCCACGTGCAACTGGCAGCCCATCCGCTCATAGCTGTCTAGTGCCACACCCCGTTGCGGTAATTGAACATGTGGTCGAAGAGTCCCTTGCGTAAAGCCCCCTGCTGAAGCTGAACAAGAGTGTGGTGGCAGATTTCGTTGGCTAGATTTCAGCCGTAAATTGCAGCAAACAATTGTTTCGTTTGACCGTGATGAGCAAGGGTGTCCTGCATATGTTCCTCATCCAATTCTGGGACAACTAACTGGAGGTCCAAGCGCAGGGGTTGAATTGAAATGCTCCACACATCTCAACGCATTCACGCCGAAGTAAAAAAAAAAAGGAAATAAAGTCTATTGCGCTATCTGCGCACAGTGTCCCCATGATCTACCCCCAAAGCTGTGCCCAGAAACACAGGGGCGGAGGCGAGTTTCAGGATCTGCAACTGCTGATTGCCAACGAAAACCTTGACATCTCCCGTCACTTGGGTAAATGACAAGTCCAGGAACATCAAACGCTCCTGGAGATGGCACGGCGCTCCAAGGCGGAGCTGGGTTCATTATTTGGATGGGCTGCTGCCAAGACTGTATCTAAATATATATATCTAAATATACCGACGGACCGAAAGTTAGAATGACGTTTTGGTGGGAAGATGTGGACGTCAAGAAAAACACCCGCGTACCGCGTGAGAAATTCGGGAGGCATTCTAACTCTATTTATTTAGTCCTGAAACCCCTAAACAAATCCGGGACGGCATTCTAACCCTATTTATGTAGTCCTGAAGACCCCAAAACTCCAAAATTTCGAATTTTCGACCGTCCCGTTTCTTCCATGTACTACAAATATGCAGAATATGCATGAAATCTACCCAACAATACAATGAAAAATAATGAAAAGCATCTTTAAAACATTGAACAATTAATCAAAAATGATGAAGAACATGTAAACACATTGAACAATCAATGAAAAATAACTAAAAACACCTTGAACATAATAAAAAATCATTGAAAATTAATGAACATCTTCAAAATAATGAAACACCAATGACACATAATTAAAAAATCAATGCCGCTTTGGTGGCCCCAAGTGGATTTCAAGAAAAGACCCGCGTACAGCGTGAGAAATCCGGGAGGCATTCTAACCCTATTTATTTAGTCCTGAAGCATTTGAATCCTATTTATTTAGTCCTGAAACTCTTAAAACTCCAAAATTCTTGTCGCATTTTCGACCGTCCCGTGCATGCATATGGTGCTGCAAATATGCAGAAAATGCATGTAAATTGCAAAACATCTACCCAAAAGATAATGAAAAATAATGAAAAACATATCTAAAACACTGAAAAATCAATGAAAAACAATGAAACACATGTAACAACATTAAAAAATCAATGAAAAATAATGGAACACCTTGAAAATAATGAAAAATCACTGAAAAATAATGAACAACATCTTGAAAATAATGAACAATCACCGAATGCCGTACCGTTTTTTGTTTTTTAAGGGGTTTCAGGACTAAATAAATAAGGTTAGAATGCCTCCCAGATTTCTCACGCGGTACACGTTTTTTTTTCCTTGAAATTCATGTCTTTCCACCAAGGTGGCATTATAACTTTCGGTTGTACCATATAAACAATGAAAACTATTGAAAACCATCGTCAAAAAAATAAAAAACCAATGAAAACTAATGGATCTACCCATGATGAATAAAACATAACAAAATATGCAAAAAAAACAATATCGTCAACCGCCGATCCAAGAACACCTCGTTTACTCACATCTAATATGTATGTACATGATTGTAGATGTACATACTGTAATTGCAGTGAATATATTTATATATATATATATATATGTGTGTGTATAATGCTGTTTTTGGAGGTTACCATCCTATTTAGTCCTGAAACCCCAGAAAAAATCCGGGACGGCATTCTAACTCTATTTATTTAGTCCTGAAACCCCTAAAAATCCAAAAAGTTTGATGCATTTTTCGACCGTCCCGTGTCTTCCATGTATATGGTACTGCAAATATGCAGAATATGCATGTAAATTTCAAACAAATCTTTCCATGAACAATAAAACAATGTCGAAATATGCAGACAAATTCAATATCGTATTATAAATCTGTAGAATATGCAGATATTCGCCAAAAAACATGCTCAAGATCAGCAAAAAAGTAAATGACCACTAAAATTGACAGAATATGCAGAAAAAATGCAATATCGTCATCTGCCGATCCAAGAACACCTCGTTTACTCACATCTCAAATGTATGTACATGATTGTAAATGTGCATATATGCACTATATACAGAGCATATATATATATATATATGTATGTATATATATATATAATGCCGTTTTTGGAGGTTACCATCCTGTTTAATCAACATTTCATTATCGTGGAGAATATCGTGGGAAAATTCCGGACGGGCATTCTAACCCTATTTATTTAGTCCTGAAATCCCTTAAAAAATCCGGCACGGCATTCTAACTCTATTTATTTAGTCCTGAAACCCTTAAAACTCCAAAATGTTTGGCGCATTTTCGACCGTCCCGTCTTTTCCATGTACTGCAAATATGCAGAATATGCATGTAAATTGCAAACAAAGCTTTGCATGAACAATAAACAATATTAAACAATGGCATAATATGCAGAAAAATGCCATATCGTTTTTTAAATATGTAGAATATGCAGGTATTCGCCAAAAAAACATGCTCATGAACAGCAAAAAACTACATGATCACTAAAACTGACAGAATATGCAGAAAAAATGCAATATCGTCATCCGCCGATCCAAGACACCTCGTTTACTCACATCTACATATTATATGTAATATATACAGCGCATGTATATGTGTGTATAATGCCATTTTCGGAGGTTACCGTCCTGTTTATAATCAATATGTAATTATCGTGGGGTATCGTGGGAAAATCCCCGACGGGCATTGTAACCCTATTTATTTAGTCCTGAGACCCCTAAAACTCCAAAATTCTTGGCGCATTTTCGACCGTCCCGTGTCTTCCATGTACTGCAAATATGCAGAACATGCATGTAAATTTGCAAACATTTTTTCCGTGAACAATAAACAATGTTCTATTTTGAGGAAAACATGTAATATCGTATTATAAATAAGTAGAATATGCAGGTATTCGCCCAAAAAACACGCTCATGATCAGCAAAAACAAACATGATCAACAAAAAATGACAGAGTATTAGAAAAATGATGAAAAATGCAATATCGTTTGTGTATAATGCCTTTTTTGGAGGTTACCATCCTGTTATCAGCATTTACATTATCGTGGGGAATACGGTGGGAAAATCCCCGACGGGCATTCTAACCATTTTCTACGGGTTGTGGCGAAGCTGCTTCATCAAAAACCTGGTTTTGTTGACTAAAACCTGTTTTTTTCGCAGAAACTAGCTCAAAACCAGGTTTTGATACCTCGACCCGCTTTTTTCAGGGATTTGGTTGATGTTGGATATATGATGATGATATCAAACTGTGGTAAGTACCTATCTCAACCGTAATTGGGGACCAAGATTTCATTTATTTATTTAAAATCTATATAGAATTCAGAAGTTTTGGGGGCATATGCTGCGGAGGCATTCTAACCCTACAAAAAAAAAGGTTTGGTGGCCCTTGCAAACAAGGCTTTTGGTCGGTTTTGGACTACGGTTTTTTACGGGTTATGGGTTTTGATGAGTTTTTACCGGGTTGTGGCGATGCTGCTTCATCAAAAACCTGGTTTTGTTGACCAAAACTTTTTTTTTGCAAAAACTAGTTCAAAACCGGGTTTTGATACCTCGACCAGTTTTTTTCAGTGATTTGGTTGATACAGGGTATAAATTATATATACAGTATATATATATACTCACATATTTAACATCTATATAGAATTCAGATGTTTTGGGGGCATATGCTGCGGAGGCATTCTAACCCTACAAAAAGATAAAGGTTTGGTGGCCCCGGCACAACAGGTAGGCAAGTTTGATCAAACAACTTTTGAACATTTTTATCCACATTTACCAGCATAATACGGACTGAAAGGTAGAATTTTAGTAGAATTTCTACGTCCATTTTGGTACGTCATTCTAACTTTCAATGGAAAAAATGTGGTGGAAAGCACGTCATTCTAACTTAACTTTCGGTCCGTCGGTATATATCTAAATAATTCATATTAATTCATAATATTTCTCAAGATTATTCTAAACAAATTCTAAAAATTATTCTAAATGAATCATCATGAATCTACAAATAACATTCAATGATCTGAATACACACCTGATCGCGCTGTGGCTTACCTTGATTTTCCCCTACCTATAAGTATCATTAAGTATCCCTCTCCCATGACAGTAAATACTTGCATGTACTCGCACCTTATTGCATAATGAGATGTACACTTGTATGGGCGAACTTGCGCAATTAAACATGATAAAAACAAATATAACACATACATATGAATCAATGTGGGCCAATGGTGCGCCCCCAACTCCTTGTTTTCGAAGACTTGAACGTCACCTGTGACCTGCGTTGAGGAACAAATTACAGCTAGCAAGCCAGGTTTGCTCTCGAAGACCCGGATGTCCCCACCCACTTGCGTTGAAGCAAAGACGACCTCCACACAGGTTGCGGCAAATGACTACAAGCACAGCCGGCACAGCTTGATCCCTCTCCATGCGCAGGCAGAGCGCCTAATGCGCCTAGTGTGATACCATTTGATACCTGTAGCCTGTAGAACTGTAGATCGTGGATGACCTTGTATTCGAATGGCAGAGATGGAAATAATGATGACGACGACGAGGATGACCACTATCATGACGATAACGATGGTGATTATCATGAAAATAAAAATGATGACGACGATTCTGATGATCATCATCGCAGTGACTGCAATTTATGATTATGACTAAGATGGTTGTTATGTTCCTGTTGCTGCTCACGGTGATGATGTGGATGACTACTGAGAACCCACCAAACTGAACCCAAAACCACCTCGGAAAGCTTGTCGGCAGACTTCAGCGCTGAAATATTCCCAAACACTGCACTGTTCCCCATGCTCAACGAAGTGAGCTCGCTAGTATCCTGACTTGCTGCTCATGGAAAGTCTTGATTTTAGGAGATGGCTCTTTCTCTTACAACTCTTGTAAAATTTATTCCGCTGGAGAAAAGTCTGCTTACTACAGTGAACAAGGTGGGCAACAGTCAAAAACACAACATGCAAATACCAACAGCAAAGTGAAGTGTTGGGGTTTGAAGTGATTCCCTTCGTTCACATCTTTACAACCCTTCTTGCTTACTTGGCATTGGTTAGTCCCAGTTCCCGTACATTGAGAAGTTGTCACCTGACACTGTGGAAACGGTAGGAGTTTGCACTGCACTTCGCGACATAACAACGCAACCATATTAATATTATTATACTACATGATCTTACATCCTACGCATCATTGTATGTCAAGGATCAGTTGAGCTGAAGACGGCAATGTCCCCATGAACCCTTGTGTTCGGCAGGTGTACCACTTTCAGCTGACCCGTCGTGTTCAGAACTTGGATGTCCCCGGTGACTTTGGTCGAGGCCAGGTCAAAGTATTCCAAGCCATTGGTGTTTTCAAAGACTTTGATATCTCCTGTGCCAAGAATGGCCATGGATCTAGGGACGGATGACTGTGGGATGAGCAGGTCCTGAAATATACCCGGAATCACTTGAGTTTTTTTTTGGGCTGCATGGGCCCTTATACTCCTGTTCTGCCTATGCCACTGTCTACGCCAATCTCATTCTGTTGAACTGGTTCTTGGTAAAAAATCACATCCCAAATTCAGTATATGTTTGTGCTGAATCCAAGTTATAAAATGTTATAAACCACTATCCAGGAATGAAGCTACCTTTTGGGCCATTGTTTTTGGATAAAACTGAATAAGGTATAAAATCAAATCCATGAGATTCCAACACCGATCATGTATGACCACTGAAAATACAATGAAATTGTTGCCTATGCGAACCAGAAGATATTCGGAACCTTGACAAATGCCCACGCCAATCCTACGCAATCCTTACGCCAGTCAGGTAAAACCACACCAAAAGCAACGTCCGGTTTAACCTGTAGATAAGCCCCTCATGTTACAAACAAAACGTAGCTCACTGCTGAGATGCTTGGGAAGCTTGCTTGCGGTGCAGCATCTAGCCTAGCTGAATGAAGACTGGAGTGAGGTATCAGGGTAGCATACCACCTCCGTGAAATTTTGGTCCGATAACAGTCCGAACCACTCCCAAAAACACTCCCAGGCATTTTGATTATACCTGGCAAACTCTCGGATCCCGAATCCGCAACGTGCTGCGGTGAGACGAGTGACCAGTGAAGACCCCACAATGAAATGGGTTGATCATTTTATATAAACTTTTATATAATTGATAACATTATGTACATACACACACACATATATATATATATGGTTGTTGATCAAAATTCCTTTATCCGGGAACGGCCATTCTTCGCGAATAAAAATGTTACTTTCGCGAAACTTTCGCGAATTCCATGTTTATCTTTCGCGGAACCTATGTTAATTAGGCAATCATGAAGTCCAACTTTCGCGAAAAAAATGATACTTTCGCGAACTCGAAAAAACATTTCCCAGGGTTTCCAACATAGCATGCACGGCTTTCGCAATTAAACTCCTTACATGGACCTTTAGATCGACTACCATATATTGATCATCTTTGATACCAAAGTTCACCAAAATAATTACCAAAATCAGTGTTTCCTGGACCGCAAGGAGGATTTATACCAATAACTTTTCAGCAAATATGACAGCTCCTGTGACATCGGTGGACTTCAAACTCAGCTCCATCAAGGACTTGGTTGCCTGAAAAACCTGCACATCTCCAAAGATCTGGGTTAAATCCAAGTTGAGCACCGTCAAATCCTTCGTAGCTTTGAAAGCACTGATATCGCCTGCGAGGTGTCCAAAGCAACGATGGGATTCGTCATAATTCATCCAGCCAGTATGCACATCAAAGCTAGCATGAAACTCGAGAACATTTCCTTATGGAAAGCAACATGCTGTATCATGTTCATTCATTATTCATGTTCCACATTGTTTTGGGATTTGGGCTTCATGCAGTTTCCATCTTTTTTCCACCAGGCCAGCCCCTCGCCTGACACTTGGGTGGCCACCAAGCGGAGAGAATCCAGGCTCTGTGTGGCCTGGAAGGCCTGGATGTCTCCAACCACCTGGGTGTTGCCAAGGTCCAGGGACTTCAGCTGAACCAAGGCCTGGAAGACCTGGATATCACCTCCACTTGAAGCACCGGCATTCAAAATGGGGGTCCGATGTGTGGCCATTTTTGTTTCTTTTTTTTTAATGGGGGAAGTGATGAACCATGGCCGTGTAGGTTGTTGTTTTCTTTTTGGGGGGGGGGAACCCGAATGACCTGAAAATATCATCTGAAAGGTTCCTGATCCAGGCATCTCTGGGCCCTGAACCAAGACTTGTTGGTGGTCTCAACCCGCTTGCATAGTAGACAAATGCGTTGGTCATCCCAGTTAATAACGGAAAATCAAATGATGTTAAAATAAGTTAAAATATTAGAATATACCCTCTGGTTATTTAACATAGCCATGGAAAATTGCACATTTATATCATTTATAGATGGTTTACCTATTAAAAATGGTGAATTTCCATGGCTATGTTAAATAACAAGAGGGTATATGAATATATAAACTTGTAAATTCAGGGCATGTAGTATGAGTCATGTATGTGTAATATATATATATATACATACGTGCAAAAACAATCCCAAACATGCGCAAATCTTTGAGGGGGCCGATTCGCTGCTGCACCTGCCACACGAGTAGAGTGCAGATTGATGTGCTGCAACTTTTGCACTTCCTGTAAAGCTTGGATATCGCCAGCGACCTCTGTTCCACTGAGGTCCAAGTGCTGCAGATTCTTCATGGACGCGATGATCTTCAACTTGCCTTGGGACGGGGGTGACCTGGGTACTGGGTACTACCAAAACATACCAGAACTAGGACACTTGAGATACGTGAGGCGCCATACAAATAGTTACGACTCCGGTTGATTGAAATGCAATTGGTTGATGAACTGCGATGGACGAAATGACACTGCGCTGGGAACCAGCAGTCCAGAAATGAACCATGGAAAAACCAAAAATCCGCTATCCCGGCTATCCCATGCAGCCCATCAAATAGGTTGGTTAATGGATACTTATGAAATGGGTTGCGATATGTTGCGATGATCAATAAACCTGGATGAGTCGCCCGAGATCTTGGTTGAAGCCAGGTGAAGACTGCTCAAATGGATGAAGTTGGCCAATGCTGCAGGCAAGGTCCCGCGCACCTCCTGCAGGTTATGAAAAAAAGAAGGTTTTCTGAGGGAATTGAAGATGATTGAACAACATAGTTAGTGACAAAAAGTGACATGTTATTTCAAAACGTTTCAAGAAATCTGAACAAATTGGGCAGGGATTCAGGGAGGAGCAGGGTATGGCAACGCATTGTATTCCCACCAGTTACAAACTGTAACATCAGAACGAGAACTTGATCCACATCACTGTTTTTATCAGAACATTTCCTCACTCAACACTTCTTCCACCATCCCGGGTGTCCGGATTGGAAATCTGGATCGCCACCACGCATCCTCCCTGGCACATCATGCCAAACCAGTCACAATGATCTCCTGCGCTCACGGAAATCAAGAGGTTTGAATTAGATGAGCGAATCAACATGAACTCAACATGTGCCAGAGCAAGATGGGGGAACACTTTGCTGATCTCAATGTTGACCCTTTTCCGATTCAGAGGGATTGGAACAATGTGTTCATCTTCTGGGTGTTTGATCTTCCATCCCTTCACCAAGACACTGTCCTTGAAAGTGTACATAAGAAGAAAAAACCCAGCTGCGTAACACCGCCCACGCAGCATGTCTTTCCACTGTGCCTCGACAAAGGCTGATGTTTGTCAAATTTGGTTTTCGATCGTGGATATTTTGTCACAATATCTTTGAACAAATCCGATAAACATAAATGTAAATACACACATGCGTACACGTAAACAAATCATATACAAATGCATATGTATATAATGCGCATGATTATGCATGTGAATTGCATGTCATGTGTAATCATGTGCTGCATGTATGCACGTATGCAGCATGCATGTTTGTGCTGGCAGAGTGTTTGCCGTCTCGCCAATGTGACAATGTTTCAGAAGTGGGGTGAAGTGGGGTTGGGGGGATGGAGGGGATGCAAAAACGTTATGTCGCCTCGTTTTTTTTGGCAAATGCTACGTTCTTTCAACTAATACGAATATCATTTTCCAACAATTTCTTGATGCTACGCTCCGCTAGCACAAACTTAACAAATACGTACGGTAGCAGAAAACTGCGAAGTTACGTTCACGGTTTATCTTAGACTACTAGAAAGCTGAGAAGTCACGTCTATGGTTGATGTTTCGATATGTTTCGTTACCATAAAATTGAGAAGTTGCGTCCATGGTTGACGTTACGCCGCTAGAAAATTGAGAATTTAGGTCCATGGAGTCTGTGGATGATGTTACGCTACTATAAAATTGAGGAGTCACGACCAATAGACTATAAGTAGCCTGAAATTACCCTATAACATCCGTCCAGCCATTTTAGCTACAGCTACAGATAGCTACAGAACTTTGCGCGCCCATCTTTGAACTACAAAACCCTGTTCACAACCCCAAAACAACCCCTACACAATGCAACCTGGCTTCTTGCCACAAACAAAACTGTTTTTGGTAGCATCATCATTTTGAGCACTTCAATTAAAGGACCAGATAACCCCACAAGACAACTTGTGCCAATAAGGAAAAACAAAGGAGGTGGTGGAGGACCGAGAAGTAAAACAAAGATGGTGGGTGACAATGTGGTGTGTGAAACATCGTGTATCAAAGATTATCAAAGATGGTGTGTGACAGAGTTGGGTGTGAAAGAGGGTGTGTGAAAGATGTTGTGTGACAAAGATGGCGTGTGACACCACAACCAGCCCAATGCCACAAGGGCCACGCCTGCCACGCAAAACGAAGGTGGATGTCTCCACGCCACCCAGTGCCATGAGTGCCACAACTGCCACGCAAAACGACCGTGGATGTGAGATTGTGCCACGCCTGCCACGTGAAACCAAGGTGGATGTCACCAAGTGCGACGCCTGCCACGCAAAGTGCCGCGGCGTCACGCGCGACCAAGCGGGCCCAAGCGCGCCACCCAGTGCCATGAGTGCCACGCCTGCCACGCAAAAGCAATTCAAAAGCCACGCAAAACGACCGTGGATGCGAGATTGCGCTACGCCTGCCACGTGAAACGCACGTAGATGTCACCAAGTGCCACGCCTGCCACGCAAAGTGCCTCGGCGACGCAAAACGACCGTGGATGTGAGATTGTACCACGCCTGCCACGTGAAACAAAGGTGGATGTCACCAAGTGCCACGCCTGCCACGCAAAGTGCCGCGGCGTCACGCGCGACCAAGCGGGCCCAAGCGCGCCCCAGTGCCATGAGTGCCACGCCTGCCACGCAAAACGACCGTGGATGTGAGATTGTGCCACGCCTGCCACGTGAAACGCACGTAGATGTCACCAAGTGCCACGCCTGCCACGCAAAGTGCCGCGGCGACGCAAAACGACCGTGGATGTGAGATTGTGCCACGCTTGCCACGTGAAACCAAAGTGGATGTCACCAAGTGCGACGCCTGCCACTACCGTGGATGTGAGATTGTGCCACCTTGGTTTTGCGTGGCAGGCGTGGCACTCATGGCACTTGGTGGCGCGCTTGGGCTGGTTTTAGGCGCCGGTGACGCCGCGGCACTTTGCGTGGCAGGCGTGGCACTTGGTGACATCTACGTGCGTTTCACGTGGCAGGCGTGATACAATCTCACATCCACGGGCGTTTTGCGTGGCAGGCGTGGCACTCATGGCACTGGGTGGCGCGCTTGGGCCCGCTTGGTCGCGCGTGACGCCGCGGCACTTTGCGTGGCAGGCGTGGCACTTGGTGACATCCACTTTGGTTTTACGTGGCAGGCGTGGCACAATCTCACATCCACGGTCGTTTTGCGTCGCCGCGGCACTTTGCGTGGCAGGCGTGGCACTTGGTGACATCTACGTGCGTTTCGCATGGCAGGCGTGGCGCAATCTCACATCCACCGTCGTTTTGCGTGGCAGGCGTGGCACTCATGGCACTGGGTGGCGCGCTTGGGCTGGTTTTAGGCGCCGGTGACGCCGCGGCACTTTGCGTGGCAGGCGTGGCACTTGGTGACATCTACGTGCGTTCCACGTGGCAGGCGTGGCACAATCCACGCAAAGTGCCTGTGTGAAGATGGTATGTGACAAAGTTGTGTGTTAAGTTTGTGTGCGTGTGTGAAGTTATTGTATGTGTGACAATGTGTAAGATGGTATGTGACGAAGGTGTGTGCGAAGTTATGTATGTGACAGATGGTATGTGACAAAGTTGTGTGTTAAGTTATGTATGTGACAGATGGTATGTGACAAAGTGTGACAGATGGTATGTGACAAAGTTGTGTGTTAAGTTATGTATGTGACAGATGGTATGTGACAAAGTTGTGTGTTAAGTTTATGTATGTGACAGATGGTAACTGATAAAGTTGTGTGTTAAGTTTGTGTGTGTGTGTGAAGTTATTGTATGTGTGACAATGTGTAAGATGGTATGTGACGAAGGTGTGTGTGAAGTCATGTATGTGACAGATGGTATGTGACAAAGTTGTGTGTTGGTATGTGACAGAGTTGTGATAGGCGGAGGCGGGCGGACGGAGGAGGAGGAGGCTCGGGATACAGAATCAAAAACAAGAACCCCACACAAAGTTGTGGGGAAAAACACAAATGCATACACATACACATACTGTTCGTCGGTCACCGTCTGTCCGTCTGTCCGTCCGTCCGTCCGTCTGTCTGTCTGTCTATATATCTATCTGCATGGTTCTGTATGTTTTTTTGTCTGTTTGCGAGCATGTAGCATGCATGCAAGTAAGAACATATCAACACATTATATATGCGATAAAGGAAACAAACATGTGCATAGTATCACCCAAATTAATCAAATTATAAACCTGCTTAAGGATTCTTTGATGATACTGGAAACTGATCCCCATGATTGTACCAATTCCCAACATGTGTCTTCAAAACAGTTCAATTGCTGTTGCCTTGCGGGCTGATGAGACCGCTCATCATACCAGTACATGTTATCAGGAACTGCCATTCACAACTACATATGATTATATATGTATACTAAAACCAGCGCAGCGCCTTTCCATTTCCAAAAAAACATGCTTAAATCTCTGCCCTGGCCCATCCCGGCCATTAACAAAACAACTGAATGCCATGCGACGGTTGCAAGGCGATTGATCTTCATGTCCTGAAGAGGAAAGGACGGGAAACTAGCAATGACAATGATAAGGTGCCCCTTCAAGTTTCAAACGAGGTTAACCAGAAAACGCGTATATAGTATATAGTATATATATGTATATATGATTCCCACCGTATCCACGGGATTCATGTTGCACAAATGGTCATGCATCTGTGCAGTTTGGTCCTGTATGGTGGTACGGCGCTTCCGTGAACGGTGTTTGTGGAAGGTGTTCTTCTTTTCCAATTTCCTGCACAGAAGCTGGGTTGAGACGCAAGATGTGCAACAACTACAACACATGTGCATCATTGTGCATCTTTTATACATGTTGTGCCCCCAAGTGTGCCCAATTATATCCAATTATGTTCATTTTCCCGCAGCCAGTAAACATAGTCGAGCGACTTCCACCTGGAGAGCGCCCGTGGCTCGAATTGCAGGTCGTTCGGCCGAAACAAGATAAATTTGGCTGTGGCCGTGGCCCAAAATGCAAACCCACAGCACGAAACAACGCGGGCAAACCCCCACGGCTACCATTGGGATGCCCCTGCCATGAAGAAATGAAATTCGCAGAATTCAGCGGCCGGAAAGGGCTGTAGGAAGGCCACTGGAGCCTTGAACAAAAAAATATACAAATCGCACTTGCCACTGGTGTTCCCTCGTTTTTCTCCGATATTCAATAATTTCGATTGCAAAATGTTCAAAAACACGGGATACAGTTAATGGAAAGCAACCGATAATACTGAACACACGAAGGTTCGTTCGCACATAAAAGCTCAAGACAAGAAATCATCAGAAATCTGGGCTAGAAAAAGGCTGGGCGAAGCCGCCCACCAAGACATTCATTCCAATTCCTACAGCTACCCAGGATTTCATCTGGGCTGGCAATTCAACGGTGCCGACATACATTAAGGGATTTGGGTATATTTCAAACCGCTGCTCTTTTTTTCTGCCTTGCAGACGCGCCATCCGATTGCGCCAAGACCTGAGCCGCCAGGAAGTTTAATGGCAAAAATGAAATGTTAAATGGTGCTGGTGTCAAGTTGATCAAGTTGCAACACGAGATGGATGCAACTCACGGCCTGCACTCCCTGAGCGCAATTTTTTCCCCAGAAAGCTGATGGAAGCTAAGGCTTCACAATCTGGACGGCTGGACCACTGGACCGCCAGGATGAGCTACCCCACCATCCCCAAAGCAGGCCTCTATGCCCCTAGAACACCGATTTAGCTGCTACTTTAGCTCAATGCCTGCCCCAATTTCACAGAGCAGGATTCGGGTTGAGCGCGGCCTTGAGTGCCGGTGTCGAACTTACGTCAAGCAAAGTGATGCCAAGCTTGTGTCTGCATAGTCAATTCATCCAGCTTCAAAACATGCAAAGCAAGCTGCTACACAAGATTTATGCAAAACTGTGCGCTGAAGCTTGCTTTGGCTGCAAAATAGCCTCAACTTCGACATCTCCTGCTCGTCTTGTTTTTGCGATCAAGCTGCTCAAAGAAGCTGCTAGCTTCTTGATAAAAAATTAAAACTTGCCATCGAGAACGGCAGGGCCGCAGGAGAAAAGCTGCACAGAGAGGATGTCTTTGCACAAAGGAGCTTTTACACAGAGACACGTTTATACAGAGAAGCTCTTTCACAGAGAAGCCTGTACACACAAGCTTTTACACAGGCAAGTCTTTACACAAAGGAGCTTTTACACACGGAGGGGCTTTTGCACAGAGAAGTCTCTAAACAGAGGAAATTTTACACACACACACACAGACGCGTTTACGCACAGAAGCTCTTACACAGAGAAGTCTGTACGCAGAAGAACTTTTACACAGAGAAGTCACAGTATCGGAAGCTTCCTTCTTCAGTCTTTCCGACTGAGAATTTTCCAAGGATCTCCTGGACCACCTTTGCTCCACTTGGCTTGTGGGCAAACAGTAGGTCATCCACATGGGTGCATAGCATGGCATCCAGTTCACCGTTTTCGTCTTGATGGTAGTACAGGGCAGGCATCACCTTTGACACCTTCATACCTGCTGTCTTCACTTCTGAATCCATGCGCAAGTAGAGACCTCTACCTGTATCAATTGAACCGTAGATGGGGGCCCTGCAGAGCAGACACGCTTCTGCAGGCACGTCCGGGTCACCAAGTCCACCGGTTGGCTCTGGCACAAGATGGATGTACTTCTGCTGCTGAGGGCCTGACACAATGGCATCTGGCAGCACAGGTTCCCCGTTCAAGATGGAGAAGGCTAAGGCCTCACTCTCATTGGCAGACCTCACACGTGATGTACTGCACAAAATTGGAACCCCCTCGTGCAACAACCACAACCCATTGTGGGGGTCATGGCCAATCACATGGGATGCTGCGCTCCATGTTGTGCCACCTTGCCGTGCGTCCCTCCTGTAGCAGACCAAATCTCCAACAGCATACTCTTTGTGTTGGGGTGCTGCATTGCGTGTCAAAACACGTGCAAGCCTGTTGCTTGTGTCCAGATGGACAAAGGCTCTCTGCGCACTCATCCTTGTAGCGTGTACCTTGTGGTAGGCTACATTGGGGTCAGTCTTTGCTTCAATCACACCCAAGTCAGCGCTCTCTGACATGTCTGTGACTGAGCCTGGCATCCGTGGCTGCTTTCCCAAGACCCATTGACTTGCACTGTAACCGTTTGTTCTCTGCATGTTGTTCTTCGTGGATGTGCATTCTTGCAGCAGCATCTCAAAGTCTGCAAGTCCTGCCGTCTCGGTATCGGCAGTCACCTTCCTGACCATCGCTTTCAGAATTCCACCATGACGTTCAACTTTCCCTATTGCTGCTGGAGTTTCCAGAGGGGCAAGCTCGATGTTGCATCCATGGCTTGACAACATCTTGGCTACTGCACCTCTGTTGTGCAAGCCTCAGTCCATGATGCATGCACGTGGCCAGCCAGCCCACGCAATCCACTTAGTCATCAGTGCCTTGGCACATGCCTCTGAAGTGGGCTGTCCTCCACCTTCTTTCACAATCACGTGTGAAACCCTGTGGCTATGTCAACCATTGACATCACTGAGTACTTCCCCCCTACATGATCTCTCATCTCGAGCACGTCAAAACCCAACATAGAGTTGAACTATGTTGAACTCATAGTTGAAACGACTTCCTACTGGGTGATCCCTTGGGGGTTTTGCTGAATCCTCACACGCCTGGCACTTCACCAAACGAGCTGCCTCAATCAGCTCTGGTGGCGCTCTTCCTGCCTTTAGGATATTCTTCAGCGTGGCCGGTGTTGGGTGGCCAAGTTGCCTGTGCAGGCGTCGGATGGCAATCCTAGTGCGTGTGGGCAATGCTCTCCACTGGGCTCTCCTCTGGGCTTCATCCAATGGGGCTCCAGGGATTGCAAGTTGATCCAGTATGAGTTGTTCATTTTCTGCAAGGGTCAGAGGCCTGTCAGGATCCCCACCATCTGGCCATCAGATCCAGACAGCTCATCCATAACTTCACCCACAAAACACGTCTGGGCACACCTGTCTAGCCAAAGCTTCTCTGAATCACCCTTCAACAACTCATGAAACTCCATGCCACATGCATCTTGAAACGTCCTTGGTGTCATGGACACTTGACCATCGTTCCACTCTATGGCCAGCCTGCTCAAGGCATCATCACGGTCTCCTACAACGAACAGGCACAAATCACCCCCAAAGCAAGTGCTCTTGTCAACCAAGTTTTCCAGGTATGGGGTGAAAACCATAACCGTGAATTGGTTCATGTCTAACTCACAGTGGATGTCTTGGAGCTGATTCCAAGTGGGGCCCGTGGGGTTTTCCATATATACTGCAACCAGTCCAGGGCATTGTGATGAGACCCTGGCTGCAAACTTCTTGCATGTGTCTTCCCAACTGGAACCTGCTGTATGACCATGGCATGCACGCCATTCCAATTGGACAAGTTGACCAGGGGATCCTTTAAGACCAACATGTGGACCGACTCTGACAAGTGAGCTGCACCTACCATGGCTTTCATGACATCATCCTCATGCTGCATGATCTTCAACCCTGAAGTCACTACACATTTGTCCTTTTTGTCCATTACCCTTGACTCTGTGGACATCAGGGCTCCCAACAACGCACATGCCTGGGACTCTGTTTCCACCTCCAGCTTCACAGCAGTTGTTGTTGTTGTTGTTGTTGTTGTTGTTGTTGTTGTCTCAAATCCAGCAACACCGCTTGGATCATCATCGTCACTGGCCAGATCGATGTACTTGTTGGGATGCATCGGTGTCACGGCCTTAGTGAACGTTCCAGGCATGCCGACCTTTTCAGCGGTTTCTCCCTCAGTAACTCCCAAAGCCTTAAGTTCAGGGGTCTTCTGTTCAGGGGGATAATCACCTTGTTCCTCCTTTGGGGCAGTCACTGCAGCATGTGCAGTGGGAATTTCCTCAACCACATCCATGGTTTCTTGGTTCTCCGTTGTTTCCAACACTGCTTCAAAAGCAAGGCGCGTGCTGTCCTCGTCAGTGATCTCTTCAACATCATCGTCCTTCTATTCCTCCTGATTCTGATCATCACCAGGCGCATCCCCACCGCCGTTTCCATCCTCGGCGTCTCCAGGCCCCATGGTTTCACCCCTGCAATGGTATAATATTTCAGCCTGCCTCACTCTTGTTTGACGCTTAGACTTGCGCGCCGGTATAGTGAAAAGTATGTCCTAATGTGTCATTAAAGTCTTTGACATGAAAGTGGGATGTTCTTCGCACAAAATGTCAACCATACTATTAATCGACCCCTGGCCAAACTATATATCACTGCTGATTCAATACTAAGATTAGATCGCACCGTCAACCGTCTGCCCCGAATCGATTTTCTCTTGTGGTGCCCATTGCCTTCAACTGCATGGTTTTGTGTAAGGGTATGTTTGTTTGCATCGTTTTGTGGTTTGGGGTACTGTTGGTCAGAGCTTTCTTCTTCGTTTCAAAACAGTTGGACTCCTTTTGAAACACGCTAATAATCTCACAAGTTGCCCCCATAGGAAGGCCAACTTCACTGCCGATATCCCCTTGGAACACTAGGAAGAGCATTTCAAAGAAAAGGTTTGGCCGCGATTTAAAAAACCTGCCCTGAAACACAAATGCCCCGAGAGATTTTGGTTTCATTGGAGCAAAGTGTGCTATATAGTTTTCTATAGTTTTCTTACTTGATTTCAAATTGTTGAACCCAATGTTTGCCAAAACCTTGCAACCAGAAAGAAACAAGGAGGAACGTGCATAGGTCATGTGCTTCAGGGTAACAACATTGACACGAAAGCAAACCATATACAGTATATATATAATACATCTATAACACAATAAAACACACTGGACTCCTTGTCTGCGACATCGTGCTCCTGTTGTCAAGTTGATGTTCATTTTTTGCTGCCCATCCAATACCAAACAAATCCACCAAAGTTACAATTAAGTTTGCTTGGAATACATTTGCATGTCTGCTTTTGCCGATGCCAAAAGAATCATGGACATCAAATGAACATGAACTCTGCAAACTTGAGAGTTTAAATGTTTCCCAGAAAAAACCAGCTATA